TTCTTCAACATAACATTAATTTAATAATTATTAAATTAATGTTATGTTGAAGAAGACTATAACTATTCAATTTTTAAATTTGCAAATGAATTAAATCCTGAGAAGAAATAAGTTATTATATAATTGTTGTGATTTCGTTATTCTCAGTGACCACTTATATGAGTGTTCACTTGTGCTTATGCAAATTATGCATACTAATTTGCTAATATCACTACATCTCCCTGAAACATAAGGGTTTTATTCCTCATAGATCTTGTACTCCTTCTCATGCTATTTTCATTACTTTGCTCTACTTCTCTCTCTCTCTCTCCCGTATTTCTTTCCCTAGGAGACCTAGATCTGTCCCGCGCTAGGCTGTAGTCATATGTGTTTTCTTGCATTATCTGGTCTTTGTCCGAACTTTCAGACTCATTCTGGCCCTCTTGATCCTGCAATATTTTGTCTTCTGATGTTTCTTTCTGTAATGGTTGTTCTACCAACTCATTATCAGACAGAATTGAAGACATTTCTTCGTCATTTTGCTCTTCCTCTTCACCCTGGGTCCTTATTTGGTCTGCATGGGCTAATACACTATTGCTGTATTTATTATAGCTGTATTGTGGCCTTTTTGCATGATAAATTCTGCCCTTTCCGGATCTGCATCTTTGTTCTTTTTGTACCACATTTTTTCATTTGTAGAATACGACATCGTTAGCGGAGCTCTAATTTGTCTTCCCATTAAAGCTGATGGGCTTTCTAGTCTTCCCGCATGTGGTATCGTACGATAACTTAAAAGCAGCCTCAGTAGAAAAACTTCTTTTTCTTTTTGCTGAGAGCATGCTTTTAGTCCCTTTTTTACAGCCTGTACCATTCTTTCTGCTAATCCGTTTGATTGAGGGTGATATGGAGGTGTCTTATATGGTTTACACCCTATTTTTTCTAACCATACATTAAGTTCTTCATCACAAAATTCTGGTGCATTATCAGATACCAAGGTTTTTGGTACGCCATTTCTGGAAAATGACTCTTAGAATCTGCTTTATTGTAGAACTTTTCTTGTGTGTAACCTGGATTATTTCAGGCCAACCTGAAAAAGAGTCTACTAGTATTAATAAGAGTCCCACTCCATTAATGTAGGCATGATCCATATGCACACAACTCCATGGCTTCACTTCTTTGGGCCACGAATGTAATTTGGTTTGTGTAAAGTTTCTTAATTCTTTACATTTTTTGCACCTTTTTACATATTCCTTGACATCTCTTGAATATCTCGGCCACCAAGCTTCTAATTTTATCCTTTTTTGTGTGTCCGCTACTCCACAGTGTATATCATGTACACTTTCTATTATCGGTTTTCTTTGTGTTTCTGGGGGAACTACCAGGTCCCCATTACAAATCACTCCATGTTCTATTGTTAATTTGTGTCATTTCTTTATAGGGTCTTTCCGCCCTAGAACAATTTCCCCATGAGTTTTTTCTTATTCTCAATACTATCCTACTTAGCACTGGATCATGTCTTGTTTCTGCAGCCATTCTATCTAAAGACAAAATATCAGTCTCTATCAAATGTAGGAATGAATCTTCAAACGGTTCCGTCAAGTCTGTGTATTTTGGTAAGTATCGCCTGCAAAAATTTACCAATCCCAAAAAAAGACTCCATTTCTTTTTTATTTGTAGGTGTAGCTACTTTTAGTATTTTTTCTATCAAGGCTTGGTCTGGTGATATACCTTCTTTTGAAATGGAATAACCTAAAAAAGATATTTTGTTAGAATTGCTTACTCATTTTTTCTCATTTATTGTCATTCCAGCATTTCTTAATCTATTCAAGATTAAGTCAGTTTTCTCTTTTAATTCCTTTTCATTAGTAGCTCCTATGCATATGTCGTCTTGGTAACAAATCATATTTTGTACATTTCCTAAAACCTGTTCAATGGCCCTTTGAAATATGGCGCTTGCGGATTTTATTCCATATGGCATCCTTTTCCATCTTAGTAACCCTATTGGCATATTTATTGTGGTTACTTCTTTGAAGTTCTCGTCTATTGGTATTTGGTGGTATGCCGTTTTTAAATCTATTTTTGAAAAAACGGTCATTCCTGCCAGTGCATATAATGCAAGTTCAACATTGAGTATGGGATATGAATCCGAGCATATCTTGTGATTTACTCCTATTTTGTAATCTCCACAAATATGTAAATCACCATCTGTTTTCCTCAACACTACAATGGGTGATGCCCACTTGCTACCTCCAGGTGGAACATGTTCAAGAAAGTCTTATTGTACTAATTTACGTAGTTTTATCACTACTAATGGCAATAAATGTACTGGTAATTTTCGTGCCTCATAATAAGAGGGGGAAACATTTTCTTTTACTTTTAAACTTGCTTCATAGTTTTTTAACTTTCCAGTTTTTTCCATTTTTATTTCATTAATTAACTTGGTAGAATTTATGTTAAGCACATCGTTTCCAATAAGTCTGTGGTTCTTTTCGCAACTTGTAACAACTATAGGTATTACTTCAAATTTGTCTTTTAACTCTAAGGAACCTTCAAAGTATCCTAATATTTTTATAACCGACCCATCAAATTGGCGGAGTTGTAAACTGCTCTTTTGTAAAGGTGGCTTACCAATGCGTTCCCAAAAAAGTTTTTGGTATCAGTGTTACTTCACTCCCAGTATCCATTTGCATACCTAAATTGCAGTTATTCATTTTGACCATTACTATAATGTCTTTTTTCTTATATTCAATTTTTTTTATACTCTTATTTTTTAATGTAAAAACTTCCCTATTGGTGTCGTTTTCTTCAATTCTTTCAACGTTTTTCTTTTTTAATTTACACACTGCTTGAAAGTGGTTCTTTTTTAAACAATTATTACAAGTTTTTCCAAATGCTGGACACTTTTCCTTTTTTATTTCGTGTTCACGTCCACAATACGAGCACTTTATCTTCATTAACATGTACGTATCAGCAAATATTTGTTCACTGGGTTGACTTTTATGATGGTTGTGTTTCTGTATTAGTTCTTGTTGCTGAATAAAGTCAATGCATGTATTTAAAGACATATTTCCTATTTGTAATTGTTCCATTATTTTATATTGGTGTGATGCATTGCACATACCTTCAATTAACCTTAATTGAATCAAGTCCTCTTCAATAGTCTGTTCATCTTGTTCGAGTTTTTCAAATTCACAATATCTACTTGCATTTCGTAGACAGTGTAGATATTTTATAATTGGTTCGTCAATTTCTTGTTTCATCGACATGAATTTTGTTCTTTCTGCCACTACCAGCCTTTCCTTGGGTCTCATATTTCTTCCTATAATCTGACTTATTTTTTCGAAAGTCAGGTCTTCCCAATTTGAGAGACATGTCATGGTGGAGACTTTCATTATCGCCTCGCATCCAGCTGTAGCCAAAAATAAATCTGTGATTTCATTTTTGCCTCCCTTTTCTTTGTTGTCTTTCAACTTTTTTGTTCTCGCAGTGACAGAGAAACAACGAATCCATGTATCCACAAAATCTGGATCTTCCAGAGACAATTGATATCCTATCGGCGACGCCATTGTTGTGATTTAGAGGTTAGCACTAATCAGCCGCTAGACTCGTTTGACTGCTTCGTTATTCTCAGTGACCACTTATATGAGTGTTCACTTGTGCTTATGCAAATTATGCATACTAATTTGCTAGTATCACAACAATAACCTTTTTGGATGCATACAATCAAGCTTGACAATTCCCAGAATGGCTCTGTCATATTGAAAACATTAGGTTTCATCACCAGTCATGACCTTGTCAAACATTTATTCATAAGATCAAATGAAATGTGAAGCCAACATCATTTTTGCTCATCAGTCAAAATTCAAGACACCATATTTGAGAAACTTTTTTTCTCATTCCCAAATCCTGTTAGAATCTGCCACACTATTTCCCTAGTCACATCCAGATCTTTTATCAGTTGCACTCTTAATCTTTGATCTGAGCACACCAAAGTTCCCACATTTGCATCTGTTCTTTGTGTTTTGGGCTGACCATCATGAGTCATTATGTGCATCATAAAAACACAAACACAATTTCTTCATAGCATATTCACCATAAGCTATTTTTAATATCACTAATGTTTTACTAGCATTTTTACCAATCTTAACACAAATACTCTATTCCAGATTCCTATCATTTATTTTCTGCCAACAATACAACATGAACACATACAACTTTCTCTACTCTTCAGCAATGAATGACTCATCTGGTCTGCTTCTTAAGAAAGCAGAAGTTGAAACATGTCTGGACATGCTCAAATAAAAATGATTACTTGGCTCCAGTGATATGCTGCAGGCATTCTGGAAATTAAATTGTCAAAGCATGTAAATAATAAAGTAATTATGCTAAGTAAAAATGGATGAGATTTATACAGTATTATAAAATAATAAGCAATTATTGTGAAGAAAAGTTTTAATAATTGCTTGACATTTATTCTAATTATTACATTTATTTTTTCTCAGAAGTACAAAAGATTTTGATGTGTTAATTCTACTTTCAAATAATAAGAATCCCTTCATTTATTCAAAGATATATAATGTATAGTCCTGTTAACTATGCTTAAATATATTTCTGACATGTTAATATCTACATGGTTCATTTATTGTAAAGTATTTTTTCCTTTTTCATTACAAAATATACTGTTGTTTCATATATTTAAAAAGAACGCCAAAGTCTTGAAGCTAATGAAAATACTGTTAAAATACAAAATATATTTCTGGCATATATATTTTAGCCCTCAGCACCATTTTCATCTAGGAAACTTAGTAATGAAAATATAGCCAACAAGAGAATTTCTTTGCCTGCCATCCCATAATATATTCCAAGACATGATCAGAGAAACTAAAATTAAACTTTAGACAATGGTCAAAAGTTATTCCATCTAAAGAAACAACTGAAATTGGAGTTACTTCAAATGACTATAACAAAAAGAAAGAAAATATGCTATAAAAACAAAAAAAAAAAATGCAGGTTTCACATACGGAGTGCTGCTGTTGGAGTCACATTCTGCATTTTCCAAGTCTTGAGTATAAAACCGGAGCAACTCATCTTTCATAGAAATTTCATGTTTCAATTGGCTAACCTGTAAAGGACAGTCACATCAAGAGAATTAAAACAAAAGAAATAGAATTTTCTGTAAGTTATGTCATCTTTTTTTTACTAGGTTTCATATTGTAAACAGATTTTACTTGAATAGAATTCAGCATTTTAAAACCGAACTTTATCTGTACATCCTATGCTCGTATTGTAGCTAAACATTTCTATTATGTTCATGAAAGAAAATTTCCAGTTTTCAAAAGTAAAATTGTGAACTTATTCAATTATCACACTTCCTGTATATATAGATGAATTAAGTAGACCAAATCAATGAAACAATTTTCTTAAAACTAAAAAATACATTTAACATGAAAGTCTTGTCTTTTGGCACAGATGTTACATACAGGTCAATCATTTGAGAAGCAAACATTTCTGACGAAATCAATAAATTCAGGTGAATTATGCCAATCAATTTTTTTCTTTCTGATCAACCAAATATATTTTTATGCTTGAAGTTCACAATAGATAAAATCTATAAGATTTTCCCCATTTCCCCCAATAAACGTATACAAATGTAAACAAACTGAAGTGTCAAAAAATTAGATTCATTTACCTAATAGTGTAGTGATAATTTCCCTAGGTTTGAATAATGGTGGCTACACAATAAGGTACAGAGTCTATATGTTACTGTAGTTACCTCATGAGTATAACTATCCAGGCATATTACAGGAATGTCCATAACAGTAATTTTTTTTGGAGGGGAGAGGGTAAAGGCTGTAGAGAATTTAGTGAGCTTTGCAACATATTCCATACATGCTCAATGGGGTTTAAATCTAGTAAACCTAGGGATCAATAAAGTACCTGGGAGTCAGGTGGTTGCCTTATCTTGCTAGATTAAATTATTACAATTGGAGAAATATGGCAAGTATAAAGGTGTCCAAGTAGTCTGCAACAAAATCTGTGTGTGTCATACACCTCAGAACAGAGTCTAGTGTCATTACTGAGCCTTATAAACATACACTTTATTTGTTTAAATATAAATTTGAGAGGAACACATCAAAAGAAATTCAGTGAAGTCATATGCCGTAGAGAAGCTCGGTGGAAGTGTCATTGGCATGAGGAGCATTACACATTCAGCTCGCTTCAGGTGAGTTTCAATTACTTTCCAGTAATTTCCTTCTTCTACACTATACCATAATAGAACCACTAGCAGCTTGTAAAATACACACTTCTGGCAGACTAGATTCATAACCTCATGCAGTCTCCTCCAAACATGAACTCAACCATCTATCTAACCCAAAAGAACTAAAAACTTGTCTGATAAGACCCACCGAGGCATAGTAATTGGTAATAGTATCCTTGTGGTGGGTTAATGATCATGAAACCCTATAGAATGCAATGTTAACAGCATCAGTATAAATTTGGAATGTAAACTGATGCAAGGTTTCTCCTTGCTGAGTGTTTAATATCATTGTTGGTTGTCAGTAACACTATTCTTGTATCCTGCTATATCATTTCTATCAATGTCCAAGAAAAACCTAGAATACTTACTACCTGGCCCTAACAATCATTCTGAAGTCAAGCAGTGTTAAATCCAGTTTCCAATCCTGTGGCTGCCAAAGCTACACAATCTATCTAACTAAAGATCATTTGGCCAAATTCATTTCTCCAAGGCTGGGCAACACCATCCAGTGTATTGCTATCTAATATTTTGGCAATTAATTTTCATAATAATATTAAATCAAGAGCTGAAGACCTGTACAACCCAGAATTTTTCAACATCATAAAATTTTCCTCAGTAATTTTAGACTATGCAAAATTTTCATTGTTCTTAAGTTATTAGTAACAATTTTATTTATTTATTTTTTTTAAAAACAATTATTGAAATTAATTTACAATAGGGAATAGTGTTAATTTCCAAGTACAAACCTTTTTTTCAAGAATGACTGGATTGTTAAAATATTAATAATCATAAAAATATTACATAGTGAATGAATAGATAAATATTTAAAGATTGTCTTCAAATAATCGTATTGCATTTTTAAGGTATATGTTACACGTAGGTACAGAAAAGTGTTACTTACTTTGTCATTTGCAACAGTAAGCTGTTCTTCTAAATGGTCTGTCTTATCTGATAATTCCTTATTTTTCTCAAGAAGTGTTTGACCAATACGAGCTGCAAGTTCAAGATCTCGTTCTTTCTATAAAAAGAAACCAGAAATAAAACAGGTTACTTTTCTTTAAACATAAAAAAACAACTTATAAGGAATATTAAAAGTTATTGTTGTAGGTATAAATAACAAAAGAATGTTGACAAACTTTCGACTTTCTCTTCAAATGCCTTAGGAACTATGCCAAAACTTTATGCAAAATCATATTTTTAAACATGTATCAAGGAACTGAAACCAAGAAAAAGTGCACAAATAAATGTATTTTTCAACTGGTACTTTTCCTTTATCAAATTTGAAAACTTTGAGACTCCTTATAGGATATACTCTATTATAGGTTGACAGGTATGTGTAAATGTCATAAAAATGTCTTCAGAAACAATGGCAAATTTGTAACTTTCAGGAAATCATTTGATAAGTTATCTTCCTTCCAATACCATTTTGCAAAAGTAAGATTATTAGAATTAATAAACTATAAAAAGGAATGTTTTCCATTCTGATGTACTCTAAATGTAGTCATAATGTTAACATTTATTAAAAGAATAACTATGTATAACTCAGTTAAAGTAGTAAATCAGTATATAAAAAAAACACAGACTCTATACATGAATCCCTCCATTAATGTACATTCAATTAATATGCTTTTGATTCATGTGCTAAAATTTTTTATACCAAAATTCAATTAGTGCATGCATAATACTCGATTAGTGCAATAAAACATTCTTCACTTTAACCAAAGTAATTGAAAATTGATTTTTTTTTTTATAGTTACTGATTAATTAAAAAGTTTCTAAAATTTAAAAATGGAAAATGAGTAACCATTTTGCTTGTCAAGTATTATGTTATCTAAGTAATTACAGTAGTGTTAAAAAAAATGGACGGTTATAGTTAAAGTTTATAATATAAACTGTTAATAAAAATACATATTTGAATATTTTTCTCTATTAAAACTTTAAATTATTTTTTTTTCATGTTTATTTTGAAGGTCTTACAAGGAAATTCATGATATTTTGTTTAAAAATAAAAATAAAAAAAAAGAATAAAAAAAGGACAATTAGAGGAATTTACATTTATTAAGAAATATCAAAATATAAAAGATATATGCATTTACTATGGAAAGGTTATAAATAAAATTTTTAGGTTAAAATACTTATCATCATGATAGGCTTAGAAAATTTTCCAAAATAGAAAATGTCTACCTAAGTATGCAAATTAGAAGTTAATTTTGAATGAGACTAAAATTTGTGATACAAATTACATCATTTCCTATAAGTTATATCAATTAATGCATTTTCAATTACACATTATTCACACTAATCAAGGGATCCTTGTACATTCCTTTAATGAACATAATTACATAAGTTTGATCTATTTATAGTTTTAAAAAGGTTTCATAGAAACAATTTCAAATTACAGCATGCTTTTGTTTTATTCAACCAATAGATGCTCCTAGTACTTCAATAATTAAAATATATCAGAAATTTCCAAGTATTATGTAACCCTATTTTTTATGCAGAAACAAAATGGCTTGTTCTCTTATAAAATTAAACACAGAGAAATACTGCTATCCAATCTCTATAGTAGAACACTTGCCAGAGGGCAATGGTTAATATGCTAGGTTTATATATCATTGTTAGTAAGTTTATTTCTCATTTGGTACAATACAAATCTAGCTTTGTGTCATAGTTGGTCTAGTTCAACAGATATCTACCCAGCTTGGGTTTTAGGTTTGAATGTTTTCTCTTTCAACAAGATGAGAAAAGTTAATATTTGCAAACACAAAAGGATGGAATTGGGAAGTTCATTTCAATAGAAAGTCCTGACATTTAAAGTCTATAAATCATAGTCCAGCCAAGTTGTTAAAAAAAAAAAAAAAAAAAAAAAAAAATATAATGACATTCTAAACTGAATAAGTTATTTCAGTTTTCAAAGAATCTAATACAGTGTAACCCGGATGTAAGAGAGTTGTCGGGGACTGGAGAAGAAGTCTCTTATATCCGCGTTTAATCCATATACATTAACACAGGCTCTAATTTGGGACCAGAGAAAAATCGCTCTTATATCCGGGTCACACTGTACTATAAGAAAATTAGACAAAAAGGCAAATGTGTCACCCAAGAAAAACAACTAAAAGGATATATATTACAACTAGTTTAATTAATTTAGTTTTTTTTTTCTTGTTTTTAACTTCACTACAGCTCTTTGTCAATCCATAAGCTTAATCAGTTGAAACTTAAGATATTTCCCAAAATGTGTAATGTATTTGATTTTAAAAGTTATTCAAACAGTATATTTAAATTAAAACTTCTTGAAGTGCTGTATGTTTACTCTGTCCCTATTATGATTCATTTATATACTTTTAAAAGGGAACTTTGTCAACTAGTTACTGGATTATTGTTGAATGTACAACAATAATCAATGGCCTTAATTGATCAGCTTATGTTCAGTACCTGTTGCATTATTATTACTTTGCTTACATTAAAGAAAAAGAAATCATGTATAGTAGAGAGTATTTGGTTATGATAGAAGAAAGATTTTTGTGCTGATGTAAGCAAACTTATTTTAGATTCCAGAATACAAATGTTTATTCAAACTCATTTTGATAACATTTGTTAGACAGTACATTATTGGGAAGTTTTATTGTACTTTTAACTTTCAACTTGACATTTATTTTTTTAGTAATATCTTTGTCTTTATGGCAATTATGAGTTACAATTATTATCCTTTTAATTTTTTCTTTTCTTTTTTTTTTTTTTTAAATGATTTCACCCCAAGCAAGGCAGTAAAGCCACTAAGACACAAGGGGTTACTGGGTGCGGAAGAATTAAAAAACAGAAATTTCACTAAGGAGCAAGAATAAAAGAAGAGTAATCAGGAGAACAGTAGAAAGCAATTGACATTGCATTTAAATTCTTGAAGATTAAAGTTGACTGCAAAGCATGGAACCAGAAAAGAATTCCACAAGTGAGAAAATAAATTGTTAACATAGAACTTCTGGTTACATCTATCCTACCCATCTGTAAATTGGTGAGACCTCGTCATCAGTCTAGTACTGCGTTTAAGTTCATAAAGTCAATGTACCATGACAAGGAGCTCATCCAAACAATTACCATGAAAGTATTTATAGAAAAGGCACAGGGAGGCAACTTTATGGCAATTTCTTTGAAAAACCAAAAGAAAAGAAAAAAAAGAAAGGCTTCATATTTAATTCCAAAATAAACTAAAGAATGACTTCCTCACATATTTATGCCAATTACCTTTTATATGTCGATTTATTCAAGATGTTAAATTCTTGTATTATTTTTTAGCACTAAACTTAGTAGATAAATTCTATAAAGTATTTTTTTGAAGATATTTGTGTCATGAAATAATAATTACATGAACAGTTACTACTAACAAAATTGTATAAATGTTTGGGTTTGTGTATATGGTAAATACACTGATGCTGATATATTTATTGCCTTTCACTTTGAGAAGAGTTATAATCAATCTCCTTTGCTCTTGACATATTAATACAATTTTATAGATTTATTGTGGGAACATCAAAAACACACAGTGGAGTTAAATGATCCAAACAAAATTAGGACAAGTGTAGATATGCAAGTCTCTTTATTATAATTTAATTAACATACAATTTAAAGAACATTTTTAGTAGTAAGTTTCCAACTGAGAAAATGTAGAGATGGTAAGAAGTTCTGCACAAAATATTTCAGTTTTAATTCAAATATTAAATATTGGAATTAGTACATTTGATGTATCAAATAATAAAATAGTAGTAATCAAACAAATACATGTGACTATATAAGACAACACTATTTAAATAAAAATAAAAACTCAATAAATTGTATTTGTAAAATTTAACATAACTGCTTGTGATCATTTAATCTAGAAAGGTAAATGTATAAATTTAAAGCATTCTTTTGAAGTTCATATTATCATTAAAAGGTTAACTCATTAATGCAGAATCAGTAACCTACAACATGACTTTTATATCTTGGACATATGTTCAAATCCTACTGGAGGTTATTCCCTTCGATATTTGTCTATATTTCCAAAACAGAGGCATATTAAAAATAAATAAAATAAAAGATAACTGAATTTGATTAAAATAAATAAAATAATGAATGACTCATTCATGTAAACAAGTGTGGTAGGTATATATTTCAGATTAGTAATTCCATATAATCCTCATTCCTTTCAGGGTTAAAATGTTAGGCTAGTATCACCAAATCATTTGTTCTTATGGTTGTTAATGTTACCCAGGAATAAGACCAATCACTATTTCTTTATATGTCTGACATGTTAGTGAACAGAGTGAAAATAAAAATAATAGAACAAAATCGTTCAGGTATCAGAGTCACCATGACAAAAAATTGGTAAAGTCAAACACTAAAGTCAATAACTTTTTCTCTTTGGGTAAATAATAATAATAATAATAATAATAATATATATAACCAATAAGTAATCTGGAAATGACAGAATACTTGCACATTTATGTAATACGCAGAAGATTTTTTTCTTAGAAAAGGAAAAAGTAGAATTCACTTAGAAGTTTGGGATATTGTTTTCTCCAGCCTTTCACAAATCTTTGCATATCAGCAATTTTATTAGTCATAAATGCAGAATTTTACTGAACAAGGAAATTGTCATGTAATAATGACAAACTAGTAAGTAAAGTTTGTAAATAGTAAAAACTGGATACAATTTTTTGGGACATCTGGAAACATGAGAGAACTTTATCAGAGATAAGAGAAAGGAAAAACCCATTACACACAAACAAGAAAATTGTATAACAGTATCAGTAAAAAAAATGACAAGTGGAGAATTAAAAATTTAAAAAACAAAAACAGAATGGGAAATATAGAAACAAACGAGAAAAAAAAAGAAAAAAATGCATAATGACTCTTCTAATTTTTAGAGGACAAGGTTATAAAGAAAGAGGGAAAAAAAAAAGCAAAAGGTTGTCCTATTCCCCCTCTGTGCTGTTAAGAGAACACAAAGAATACGAAACAATTCTTTCAAAGCCTCTTTTAAGAAAGAGAGAGTATGTAGAATGAAAGCTTAAAGAGACCAACAGAGAACTTACCCCTTCAACAAGGGTTAGAAGTTTATCTACAGCATCCATGGTATGTTGACCATTTTGGCGACATGATAAGTGTACAGGTTCTATGATGACATCCATCAGACAAACGAAACTGGCTCTGGGAATTGAAATAGTTACTTCATTTTATGGGTGGGGTCCGCATCTGATGTAAGAACACTATGGTAGTGACAGAGGGTGTGTGGTGGTACAAATGGCAGCAGCAGCAGTTGCTGGTATGCAAAAACATCAGACAGCTTTGGTTAACAGCAGTGCTATAGAAAGCATTTTTTTCCTTTCCTCTTTTGCAAAAGAACACTGGAGAATGCTGAGCTCCAGTGAAATCAGAGGCAATAAGTTACTGGTTGATGATAGAGATACACTAAGGCAGAAACGAAAGAAAGAAAAAAAAAAGTATACAAACTTCTCAACCTCCCACCTTCTCTGTGTGTCTATTTCATCTGAATATAGCTCCTCCTACTCGAAATATTTTCAAGCAGCAGCAGCAAGGGCAAAGATTTACAATAGACTGGTTGATAATTGAAGATAGATGGATTCTTTATCAGCTAAAACTAGTTTTCAACTAAAGAGGAATTAATTAGGTGTCTTTAGCATGTATGCATCATTATACTTGCTTCATTTAGACTCCGAAATACTTTGAAAAATAATTTGCATCAAGGTTGAGGAATAAGTAAAATTGTCAGTGTGTGGGAGGAAGGGATGATTGGAAGTAGTTAAGTATCCACAGAAATTATTGAAGAGCACAACACTGGGTGTTGTATTGTTGTTGCTGGGAATGACTGTTGTTGATGTGCCTGAATAAATCAGCTCTACATAGAGAAAGACAATGTTGATGTGAAGTGAAGTGTGAAATGCTTACAATAAAGCAGTTTGTATCTCGAAAAGAGGTTGCTAAAGTTAGAGGATTCAATGACATTCAGTTTTTATTGTTGTTAGAATTGTGGAGATTTATTGAATGCTGTCTTTACAATTTACTTTTCTTTCAGGCAAAACAACCCTCCCTCTCACCTGGCAAAACTTCCCCTAACACAATTTTATTAAAAATAAATAGATAAATAAAATGAATTAGAAGATCAATATTCAAAAAACACTCCAGGAAAAAAAAATCTCCTTTAGATCAAACAGCCTTCAAGAAAATCAATAAATAAATACACTATAAAATATGAATACACATAAAATAATCTTTCTTTAAAAGTAAATAGATGAAAATAAAAAAAATCACAAGAAAATGTCTTTCATCAAGTGAAAGCTTTGAAGATATAAGAACTTGTATTACAAATACAATCACATTTTACAAATAAACAACATATTCATTTCATTCAGAAATTTATTTTTAAAGCTACTCTAACATAGAAACAAAATGCAAAATTTTGCACAAAAAATTAAGAGACAATCATTAAGTGGTAAATACAAAAAATTGAGAAGACTCTACAAAATTGAAGGTTCAATATTGGCATATTAAATCTATTTTTTTTTAACTGCCCTCAATCTACTGATTTGTAAAAAATATATCCAAGTTATATAAATATCAAGAATAATTCATTCTCACCATATGTGACAAAGCTAGGAAAACTTCTTCGGCCATGAAGTAGTTGGGTGAATGTTTACAATGTCCCAGTAGAGGAAAAATATATATTCACTGAGGAGCATTTCAAACCAGAATAAAATATAATACTCATTTACTTCAGTTTGGCTTGCTTTAAATTTACAAGAACAGAAGAGAAATAATATCAACTTCTAAATCTTCAAGAATGATGTTTTTTACAAGTCTTTTTGTAATAAAAATAATTAGCATTATGTATTTTGTAGTGCATTGCAGGTCAACGAATGACAATATATCAACCAATAAAATTAAAGCAAACCCATAATATATCTAACTTATTTTTTTTTTTTTTTTTACACACCCATATTTTTAAAAATAACTCTTTAAAATAAACAAGTGATTTTAAAAGATGCAGTTTAACTTGTTTCTTTTTTTTATATATTTTACTTATTACTCAACATACAGTGACAAATTGCTTGAAAAAACCTAAGTGTTTGTTACATTATAAAGAGGAGAAAACATTTTAAAGTGAGTATAGAAAGAAGTTATCAAAATTTACTGATTAAAACTTCACTATTGAATGAGAATCTTTAGAGATGCTATTTTGGTTAATATTTGCATAAAATACTGAGGATTTTTTTTTTCTTTTTCACACAAATACTTTCATTTTAAATGATTTTAAATCCTATGAAAGAATTCTAAAATAATTCACCAATGCCAATTCTTAATTTGATCATTAGAAAAGAAAATTGATACTACTGGAGCAAAAATTGCAGGTAACTTTAATCAAGGATACAGAAGGAATGTGTCATAACATGTTGTGTAGCTGCAGGCCAATACCTATATTAACCAATGTCCATCACCAAAAAAGTCTATGATAGGAAATGTAAGCATCAGAAACAGACTTTGAAGAAGGATATCTGGCCTTGCTTTTTCTTGAGTAAGATGCACGGTGCATCTACTACATTTATATGGGGAAATGACGATATCAGGATGTACTTTAAGAAAACAGTAAGCTTGTGAAAGCAGCATGATGATTTGGATAACACTGGGTTTTATCTATATGAAGGGAATTTTGTTGCATACCACATATCTCAATATCATTGAAAACCAGATACACTGTTTCATGGCAACAGTCTCCTATGATGACAGTGACATCTTTTAGCAAAACAATATATCCTTTCCAGATTGCATAAATTGTACAAAAATGGTTTCAGGAACACGAATACTTCACAATGTTGTCCTGGCCACCAAACTCCCCAGATCTTAATCTCATTGAGCAATTATGTTTATGACCAAACCATTCACACTGTTGAACTTCCACCATGTAATTTGCAACAGTTAAATTACCTACCATTAAACAGGTCCCAAATGAAATCTTTAAATGTTTTGTAGAATACAGGCTTGATTGGATGTGTTGCATAGAGGCAAAAATACTGATTAGGCAGGTCCTCTAATGTTTTGGCTCCTCAGTAATGTATGTCAGAATTCTTAAGGTATGTTTTAGCTATAATCCATAGTGTTAAAAAGCCCAAGGAAAACATTTGTAGAGTTACTTTTTCTTTTTGTTACCCATAATCCCCTTTCAAAATGTCTACCCCTCTGGACAAGAACAGTATGATGTCAAAGACATGGAACAAGAAATGCAATATTTATGATCAGAATGGTTTTGGAGAAAGCAATACAAGTGGCGTAATGGATAACAGCTTGGATTGAGGTATTGGAGAACTGAGTTTGAATTCCAGTTGAATCCATTACATTCACTTATGTGTTAATACCCTTGAGAAAGTTATAAATCCTTTTCTTCTCCCTCTAGCTATGGGTAAATAGCAGGACAGACCAGGTTTGTTTTTATCTCTTCCAGGGTGCATAGTGAGAGTTCATGGCTTCTCACTACTCCTTTGGATGAATTTAAGGTTTCGTGTAGCTATGTTTTGATTTTTATCTTGTCAAAGGTTGTCCAGTTTGATATTTTTTTTTTTGCGTGTGTATTTTGGGATACTTCGATTAGTATTGTTCCATTCTTCATTTTTTTTCACAGATTCTGGTTTTTGGATGTTGGTTGAGATAATTTTCTCTATTTTAAAAGGAGATATTTTGGTAAGAGGAGTATTTTCAATAGATTCTAATGTTATGAATTGATGATGCATTAGTTCATGCTCTGACTTGTTGTCTGAGCTTGATTCGATATGGGGTCTTTTTGTTGTTTTTTTTTTTTGTTGCCATGTAGGTTTGTTTTTATCTTCATCTCTTTTGCTCCCCACCCTCTTCAGAGCCCGGCAGTGGGAGATATTAGGAGGGGGAAGCCCATCTGCCCTATTTTCTCAGGGATACAAAAGAGGTATACTCATATTAGTAGTATTTTTGCTAGCATTTTTGGTGTTGTTGTTTTCTTATCCCTGTTTTTATGAAAACTTTTATTTATTCCTTCATGTGGCTGATTTTTACGTACTAATTGATTGACCCTTGCCACTGCCTCCTGACACTTATTTGGGGAATATCATGTTGTTTTGAAATAGAGTTTGAAAGATATTTATTTCGTGAGGATAGGTGTTAGGGCTTGACGTGACTAGCCGATTGGTCGGATCGGGCCTCTCCGACCTCCCATCTAGCCCAGGTAAAGACCAAAGTGGTGTGTTGCAAGGTCGTGACAACTTTTCACCTGGGTCACAACCTGCTCAACCCCCAGGATCCCGCCCCCAGGCATCACGGGTTGCCACCCACAGCCAACAGGTGGCCCCGTTGAGGGACTTTTACCCTCTGCAGGGGTGCAGTCGACGGATTCTGAAGCCCCGCCGACAAGGCTACACATAACTGAATACAAATGCAGAAGGATGTACATTTAGGTTTCATAGATTACACAAAAGCATTTGGTAAGGACGTGTCTGAACTGCAAAAAAACTTGATTTATTTGGGAAGAATGTTAGAATAATGCAGTATTTATACTGGGACCAAATCACTTGCAAACTGAGAGAAAATGAATTGAGTAAGTACACAAAAAAGAAAGGAGCATAAGACAAGGATGTGTCTTCTCACCAGATTTATTCAATTCTTTCAGTGAAATTATCCTAAGGGAGCTGGACATCCTACCAGTTTATTATCAGTGGACACAATCTTAATGAGATACACAAATGACACTGAGTTGATGACAGACAGAGAAAAAAAACTGCAGGACCTCCTACACAAGATAGTAAAGGAAAGCAGGAAGAAAAGACTAGCCACAAGTTATAAGAAGACAGAAAGGGGATAAGGCCCAAGATATGAGCTACAAATTGGAGATGTCAAAATCAAGCAAGCACAGAAATTTAAATATCTGGGAAGTGTTTTAACAGATGATGGAAAATGTGATGCTGAAATCAAAAGATGTCTTCAAAAACCTAAAAGCATTACGAAACAGGAAAAAAATTTTTAGAAACAAAGAGAAGAATGCTGAACTGCTATGTAATATCAATTCTTCTATAGGGCAGTGAATGCAGAACAATCACCTTACAGATGAAGAGGATACAGGATAAGAGGGAACAGATGTGGTTTTATAAAAAGATGCTGAGAATATCATGGACAGAGCATGTAAGCAATGAGGAAGTTTTAAGGAAAATGGAACCAAAAATATCAATTATACATAAAATCAGAAAG